GAAGTCCTTTTAGAGCTGCCAGACCACCAGGAAGCCTCACGGAAATCATGTTCAAGTCCCCAAGAAGTCAGTTGTGAAGGGTCAATCGAAACTTCCCTACATAGGCTTGTTTTACATGCCGAGAACTTAATTGGAATCTATGAGTTTTTAAAATTACTTTGAGTGCGTCGTAGGCAGTGTATTTCTTTTGATACAGAGGTGAAGATATGATCCCTATGAGGGACTTGTTGCCTAGAGAGAGATCTCAGAGGCAAACAGAATCATACCTCGCTTCCTTGGGTGATTTAATTTAAATACGGTACTATGTCTACACTACTCCAACTAACATTGTGTTACTGTTTTCGTACAACTATAAAAATCTCTTTAAAATGGCAACCATTTGTATATTTTTTTGACAAGTTATAGTCAATGTAATTTTCTAGATTTATCTTTTCCAGAGGAAGGAAGTTTTGATGTGTTGATATGATTATATATGTAGACAATTCATTCACATCTACAGTTTAGCAAAGTTGCTGCATTCACAATCAATATGCAAAAGTCAATTGTATTCCTTTATATCAGCAACTAACAGAAAATGAAAGTTTTTAGAAAGATCTCTTAAATAATAGCATAAAATTTTTGCAATACTTAATAAATCTAACAAAATATGTGCAAGATCTTCATGGAGAAAATTTTAAACTATATCAAGAGATATTTAAGGAAATAAATGGAGTGCTCCATGATGTACATGGATTGAAAGTCTCAATACTATAAAGACGTTCATTTACTTTATGTATAAATTCAGTGTAGTCTCATCCAATGTAACTTTTGAACCATTTGAGAGTAAGTTGCAGATAGTATGCTCCATTACCTCTAAATGCTTTAGTGATATTTCCTTAAAACAAGAACACTCCTACTTAACCATAGTATGACCACCAAAATCAGGAGATTAACAATGACACATGATACCTAATCCGCAGACCACATTCAGATTCACAGATTACCCCAATAATGTTTCTCTCTGTTCTAGCATCCCAGTTCAGGACTATACGGTGCATCTAGTGGTCCTCTCTTCTTCAGTCTGGAGCAATTTTTCAGTCTTTTCTTTCATGACCTTGACATGAAGAGTACAAGCCAAGTATTTTGTAGAATGTTTCTCAGTTTGGGTTTATCTAATGTTTCCTCATAGTTAGAGTCAGGATAGACATTTTTGTCAGATATATCACAGGAAAGATGTTGTATTCTCACTGTATCACACCAGGAGGTATACAATGTCATATTGTCTCATTCCTAGTGATGTTAACTTTGATCCCTTGGTTAGGATAATATCAGGTTTCTCCACTGTAAAGTTAATAAAAAGAACTTTGTGGGGGAGATTCTTTGAGACCATGTAAATATCCCGTTTGTCATCAAATAGTCTCCAGTTAGTTTGAGTCCATTAACACTTAATACTATTCTGGTTGCCAAATAGTGAGTCCATCGTTACTTATGCTTTGATTGATATTCTACAGTAAGGAAGAGCTGACTTTTCTCCATTTATTCATATCTTTATTCATTTATATCATTATGGCCTCATGGATTCCTACTTTATTCAGTAAGTTATAATATATTACTGTCATTTATTTTGATACTGAACTTTTTCCATATTTGGTCTACGGGAATCTCTTCAAGCTCACTTTTATGTCCTTTTGACTTTTTGAGCTCTTTTTTTTTGGCACATCAAGGTGTTCCAAGCTTATCTGGGACTTTTCCCTGCCCCAGCCATTTTTCTAAGGAGCCCTGGTTCTTTAAAAGGAAAATGGTATATGGAAAACGAGCTGAGAAGAGCTCGTTGCTATTTATAAGTCATTGGTTTTAAGCCCTATTGGTACACAGATCAAAGAAATACATGTGTGAATACACAGATGTTTATATGTTCTTCTGTGTACATACATATTGAAAACCTTGAGTTCACACTGATACTTTCAATGCTAGTTCAATACTTCAAGATTTAATCTAGTCTTTACATACTTGTAACTCCTTTCTTTCATAGTGAGAAACCTGGCTCCCATGATCCTAAATACATTATCTGCTCACTCTTCCTTTATATTCCCACCTCCTGACAATGCCAGCTGTTGTGTTGGCCCACATAGCCCCAAATATGCCAAATAAGTGCTCAGCTATTGCTGCACTGGTCCTGATTCCTAAAATGGCAGTTGAAACGCTACCAACGAAGACCACATCAGCTGAACCCTTAATCCCAGTGATTTAAGTCCTAACCAAGTCATTTAAATCCTAGGCCCTGGTCGTATGGCTAAATCCTTGACCCCAATAGGAAGGGGAAGGAAGGGACAAATTTATGATCTTTGAATAATGAGCAGCTATTAAATACTTGTTTATTGAATTTACTAGGAAAAAGTTTTAAATGGTTATACACATAAGAAATGTTTAAACAATTGGATATATTTATGAGATTATACAAACTTGTACATTATTTGCCATCCCTTCTTTTTTGTCTCAGCTCTAATACTTGCATATATTTTTAGATAGTAGTAGCATTTCCTATAATAACTACATTACATATTATGCTGTTTTTTAATGTCTTTAAAATCAACCAGTTTAATTATTCTGCATATATAAGATTAGCATACTTTCCAGAAAATAGACTCATTTTTATGTTTCTGCATACATAAAATTAGCATACTTTTCAGAAAGTAAAGAAACTAATTACCCATGTTTCTGAGTTAAAGTTGTATTTGGGTGTGTTGTTGGCTTTTAAGTAAATAAACAAAAGCCTTACATCACAAGAAAACCTGTCTCAGTTTGTCAAGTGTGGCCCTGCCCACTTGTCACAGGATATTTTAAATCTTCCTTCTAATGAAAGAATTGGAAAGAAAAGATTGTGTAACAGTGTGAATAGACCGTGATCTTTCATTATCTAGGGAGTGCTAATAAGGGAATGTGACTCCAAAATTTAAAAATCAAGAGATAGACTAAGTATGATAAGATTTTATTTACAATTGTTGGCATATGACAGTTGCTGTCTGCCAAATTAATTACCTGTTCTCATTTCATTTTACATCAGAAATTCGCTATTTAGGATCTACTTCCAACAAAATCAAAACTTTCCTATATCCAACTATTTTCTTCACAGTTACCAGTCAGATCAGAATGTGTCGTGATTCAACTCAGGGCAAAGAAGTGAATCTATGAATTCTCCACATATAAATGCAGATACATATTTAATAATTCAGATTCAGTTAGAGTTTTGAATGATTTTTGTTTTAAATTTGATCATAAATGCAGAACTGTGTAAATGTATATGTATCATTTAAAGAATAAATGATAAGGGGGTTGCTCCCAACCCCCTTAATACAATGTAAGAAGCCACCAGAGCACCCCTTCCTGATCACATGCCTGCCTCTCTCAGCACCAGCTGTAACCACTACCTTGAATTGTATGTTAATCATTCCTTGGCTTTTTAAATACTGTGAAATATTCCTGTGGTAAATATACTACAATTTATTACTCAACCCACTGTTGACAGACATTTTGGTTGCTTCCAGTTTTTTGTGTTTTTTTTTTGTCACTATGAATAATGCTGCATTGAAAACTTAATTCTTACTTTCTTTCCTTCATTTTTTTCTTTTTAAAACAGACCTGCTTTGTGATTGTCATCTCATTTAATCTTTACCAAGTCAGGTATTTTTAACTGCTTTTTTCAGATGAGCAAGTAGACTTCAAAGAGATTGAATAACTTATTATAAGTTATGTAGTTAAAAGATGCTAGGACTTGAACCCACATGTCTTTACTATAAATTTTGTCTTTAAATTCTGTTTATAAAGTCTGTCTAAATTATTTTATCTTTACTTTTTTTAAGATGGGCTGTCATAAATCATATACTTTAAGGCTACATGTTTTTTCCAGTTGCTGGGATACTGACATTTAGGGTTATCATATCCCAACTCCAAGGTCATTTTTAGTGTGTGTGTATTAAAGCTTATTTTAATACTGTTGCATCTAACTGTTGCATC